TCTTTGCTGATATAGTAATACACATTTACTTTTATATGTGTATAAATAATTCATAATTCTTATGCTTTGAAGAAATATCGCATGTATATGCTCATGCCTTAGTTAAACAACCAAAATTGCCTCTCAGAAAAATCTTGTATTTGTTTCAAAGTTGTCTTCTATAAACTGTTGGTACCCTACTAAAATTTGTCTGGGTAACATTCCTCCCCCCACTCTCCACCACCCCAGGATTCTTGACAGAAATGAAGTAGATAGTGTTTTGTGTATTCATACTCTTTGACCTGAAGTTTGATCAATATGCTTGTTGAGTTGGGTAATCATTGTAAAGTGACAGAGTATCAGAGGTTTGAAAAGGATTGCAAGTGATCTTAACTCTACTTCTAGTCATTGCTTTACCTAAATCCCTAGACTTTTTTTAGTAACTCCAGAGAAGGAAGCCTCTCTTGCCAAAACATTTCAGTGACAAATAGTTCTTCTAGTCTAGAATTTCTACGTGATATCTAAATACTCTCCTGATTCCATTTTTTTCCCCTTTTTGAAAATGGCAAATCCTGGATGTTCCCTAAGGTTATTTTTGCAATCTGTGACATTTAAGATTCTGTGAAACTTACTCTACCTAATTCCTTTTGATGGAGTCATCAGGAATCAAGCCTTTTTGAATAGGGTTCAAAATGCACTACTTTATTTGGAATTCTATGACAGTGCTACAGTGGGGAACTAGGATATTTTGATCAACATCTATTCATTATCATTTTATGTATTTGAGATTATTTTAAAACAGTTTTTATTTTATTTCTCTGTGAGATCAATAATCCTGATTTCTTTTGTATTTTTCATAAGCGTTATCTTGTAGCCCTTTAATGTTATTTATTTTTCTGTGTTTCATCTTGAAGTTTCCTGTATCTCACTCAGATTGTGGGTTCTGGAAAACTCTAAAATGCCTGACAAGTATTTAGTGGAGTGAGTTACCTTTCTATTTATTATGTATCTTATATTATTTATTTACATATTCTCTCTCCTATTAGTAAATAACCTCCTTGAGGTTAGGGACTGTTTTTGTATATTTGTTTTTTGCATTTCCTTTTTTCCTTAGTAGTTAGTACATGATAAGTGCTTAATATATGCTTGTTGATTATTTAATGATATGTATTCTATTCTTTATTCAGCCTGATATCATTCTTAGTTTTTTAAAACAGTAACAATAATATTAGGAGGCAGAAATAGCACTTGTATTTTAGCCAGGTATGTTACATTACTCTTTTACCAGATGTATGTGTGTATGTAAAGATGTGCATATAGTTTGAGGACATATGATTAATGATTCTTATAAATGAATCTGCAATGGCCACCGTATGACCAGTGACCATGTTATTATATGGTGTACTTGTATATGTCTAATGTAAGACAGCGAGTTTGCCAGAGTGGATAGAATGCTGGGCTTGGAATCAAGAAGACCTGAATGCAAATGTGGTCTCAGAACTTAATATTTGCTTGACCCTGGGCAAGTCACTTAATCTCTGTTTTGCTCAGTTTCCCTAGTTTACAAATGAGGAAACTGAGGCTCATAAAGTGAGGATAATAATAGCACCTATCTCCTGGGGTTATTGAGAGGATCAAATGAGATAATAATTATAAAGCACTTAGCACAGTGTCTGGTATGTAGTAAGTACTGCTACATAAGTGCTAGTTATTGTTATTATTGTTATATTATTTAAAAACGTGTTCTTATATTTTTGTGTCATGCTTTGGAATACTCATTAATCATTTCCCCAAACTTGTGGGGTTTTTTGTTTGTTTGTTTTGCTTTATTCTAAGTGAATTACCTTGAATTTCTCTGTTAAATATCATTCTATTTATCCTTTTACTTCTAATGTTTGTCAAAGTAATTTTCAATTCTAATCTTATCTCAGAGGTTCTCAGCCACTTCTTTTAGTTTGGTATCATTAGCAACAATCTCCATCATACATAATTGGTTAAAATATTAGTAGTATGGGAACCTAAGACCATCCCCTATGGAACATTCCTTAGTCTACATTCTGCCTGCCTTTACCAACTCATGTTAAACTGTTGAAACTTTTTTGAGTAAGACTTTCCAACCAAATGTATATTCATCTAATGTTAAGCCATCATGTTTTCTTAGTTTGTTAATACTGAAAGTTATTAGGAATGAATTTAAAGTACTGTTTAACATAAAGGGCAGCTAAGTGGACCAGTGGATAGAGTGCTTGGTCTGGAGTCAGGAAGACTCATCTTTGTGAGTTCAAATCTGTCCTGAGACACTTTCTAGCAGTGTGACCCTGGGCAAATCACTTACCCCTGTCTGCCTCAGTTTCCTCATCGGTAAAATGAGCTGAAGAAGGAAATGGCAAACCACTTCAGTATCTTTGCCAAGAAAATCCCAAATAGGGTCATGAAGTATGAGACATGACTGAAAACAACTACACAATAAGAAAAATTTAACAAGATATGCCATCAGCAGTGGAAACAAAATAATGATTAATTTTTGTTCCTGCTTTATCCAAAGCTGTCTCACTCTCATTTAACTTCTCCTGATAACTTCATGTCAGGGTAGCTCAGGAGTGGGGAATCTGCAGCCTTGAGGCCACATGTGGTCCTGTAGGTCCTCAAGTGCAGCCCTTTTACTGAATCCATACTTCACAGAACAAATCCTCTTAATAAAAGAATTTGTTCTGTAAAACTTGGACTCAGTCAAAAGACCATACCCAAGGACCTAGAAGGCCATGAGGCTGCAGCTTCCCTACCCCAGATTTAGCTCCTTTGATGCCCAACATATGGGCTACTTATTTTTTGTGTATTGCTTGGGATTGTTCAGCTGAAGAACTATGTTCTCCAAGGTATTGACTTTGGAGTTTGAAGGGTATAAGAAGGACAAATTACATGTGCCAATTGTGATTTTTTTTGGGAGAAAGATTTCACTGTTTCTAAGAGTTGGTTTAACACAGTATAACATAGCCTTATGTTTGTTCTAACCTTAATTAACACCAGCTTATATGTTTTGTTCAGAATAGGGTTAAAGTAATTATTTTTAAGGTGAATGTAAGTAAATAACTGACCCCCAAAGTATGGGATATCATGAAGTTTTGTTCTGTAACCTCAGTTATCAAAAGGTACCATCTCTTGCTTTCTTGTTTAGTAAAGTTTCTTTGGGAATTTTTCAGAGATGATAAAGGTTGAGGAGATCTTGATTAGTTCTTTCTATAGATAATTCAGATATATTCTACCATAGTATTGTTATAGCCATTTCTTTTCAAAGGTTACCAGACTTGCTTGTGGGTTTCTTGCAAAGGGAGTTTACTTATAGGAGTCAAGGAAAGGAGATGTCTAGTAGGCAGTGCCATTATTGGTTCATGTTCTAGGTACATGTGTATGGTTTGTTGTTTCATTAAAACAGTAAGGCTTAGTTTTTCTTGATTACTTTACAAATTAGTCTTTAATTCATAGGAAGAGGAGCATCAATGAAACATTAAAAGATTACACAGAAAAGTGCAGAGGGAAGTTCAGAAGCATATATAATCAAATAGAGTACTGTTGTAACTACTCTGTTAAATTTACCTAGAAAAGACTGAAGCTGTACATCACAGAGATTGTCGCATAATTCTTTTTCTGTTCTTTGTATAAGGAAATGTTTATGTTTGTGGATGTTTAAATTCATGGTAATGAAAAAGAAAATAAAAGAAGAATCCGTATAATCAGAAATTTAAAAAAAACTTGGAGGGGCCTCACATTTTCTAGGCAATTCAGTGTAACGAGCATTTATTAAGTGCCTATTGTATACCAAGAACTAGGTTTTTGGAAAATCAAAAACAGGCCAAACAGCCCCCAATTTAAAGAAACTTACATTCTATGGGGAAGAAAGCTTATATATAAATAAATTTAAAATATATACAAAGTAATCTTGGCATTAGGGGAGAGCACTGATGTCTGAGGAGGTAGGTAGTCAGAAAAGGCCTTGTGTTAAGAAATGACGTTTGACCTGAGTCTTGAAGGGAGCTGGGCATTTCCAGAGGGAGAGAATTTTAGACATGTGGAAAGGCAAGGAAGTTCAAGAGAGAATTTCATATACAGGAAACAAAAAATAGACTAGTTTGGCAGGAATATAGGGTACATGAGGGGAAATAATGTTAAATAAAGCTGGAAAAATAGGTTGGAACCATATTAGGAAGGACCTTAAATGACTAATGGAGAAATTTATATTTTATCCTAGAAGCGAGAGGTGGTGAAGGTTGAGTTCAGTCTATGTGAGTGAAGAGAAGGGGATGGAAACAAGGGTTTCTTATGAAGAAGAACAGGATTTGGTAATAGATTGGGTGGGGGTAGGAAAGGAGGAAGAATGAAGAGGTTACTCTGAGGTTCTGAGCCTGGGTCATTGGATAAATGGTGGTACCCTCAACAGAAATAGGGAAGTTAGAAAAAGGTTTTGGTATTTTGGGGGAAGATGAGTTGTGTTATTTTAGGTATCTTTTTAGTATGTTATTTCAGCCTTCTGTTCTGTTATTTAATGTGCCATTATGGTCCTTAGCCAGTTTAATTAGCTAGTAAACATTTGAGTGTCACTGTTATATGAGAGAGACCTCTGCTAGGTGTTATGAGAATTATTTAAACTCAATTTCTCTTACCTTTGAGGAGTTTATTTTTGGTTGTAGGTAGAATTGGCTTCATAGATTTAAATATTGGCTGAACATGAAGAAATGACAGATTTTTTTTAATGATTAATATAGTAGTCTCTTGTCAACACAGTGTATTAGATAAATATGGTACTTCTTACTGGAGGATGAGGAAGAACATAGAGGTAGGTAGCATAAGTCTGGTTACATAGCTAAATTATTTTTGTTAGCTTTTACATATTTTCATATATAAATTTAACTCCCACAAAATAGACATTTTTTTCATAAACTACTTTTTATGCTATTAATTATTGTTGGCAATTGTTCAATGATATGAACTAAAATTTTGCGTATTTTTGCTTTATCTTTCATCAGTGGCCTATAAGACATGGTATAATTGAAGATTGGGATCTCATGGAAAGATTCATGGAACAAGTAATTTTTAAATATCTTCGAGCTGAACCTGAAGATCACTATTTTTTAATGGTGAGCGTTTTGAACTAAGGGGAATGAAATACTTTTTTATGAATGCTAAACTGTACAAATTTAAAAATGATGTGAAATTTTGAAAAGCTGGCATTCTTTAGAAAAATTTTAAGGACATGTTAAACTCCTCTTAAGGGCATCCTAATGGGGATGACAGGAATTTTTTCCCTTTTTATGGTAGAGGAAGATGTCATTTTTATGCTAGAGGATGAGGCAAGATGTCATTTTCACCTTTTCCTAAATCTTAAAAAAGTGATAGCTTTGTTTTTACATTATCCTAATTTCTAAATATACCCCTTCCCTACTCAGAAAATTATCCTTTTTTATATTAAAAAAAATTATACCTATCCCTTTTAACAAAACTTTCCCATGTTATAACAGAGAGTCATTTAGTTATTTAGGAATTTGCTTATTTTTTTTTAACACTTTCTGTAAAGTTTTCTATTACCTGCAACCCCTCTTAACTAATAGAAGTTTATACTTTCTGTAATTTGCACATTTTCCTCAAACCCATCAAATCTTCTGTATTATTAATGTATTTTTTTGCATTTTATTCCTCATAATATTTGTGAAAGTTCCTTGGTGCCCCCATTTACTTGTCTGATCACTGCTATTCATTTGCCTGTGCAGACCTCTTATTTATTAGGAATTTTTCTAGAGCCTCTGTTTACATGTGTACAAAATCTCCTCTTTATCTTTCCCATGGTACATTGTATGGAAAGTTGTAGGAAGGGACTTTTTTTTTTTTGTGAGGCAGTTGGTGTTAAGTGACTTGCCCAGAGACACATAGCTAGTGAGTGTTATGTGTCTGAGCCGGGATTTGAACTCAGATCCTCCAGACTCCAGGGCCAGTGCCTTATCCACTGCACCACCTAGCTGCCCCTTGGAAGGGTCTTTAATGTCTTCTTGTGCAGGGAGATGCACACGGGGTAGGGAACCTGTGGCCTAGGATGCATGTGGCCTTCTAGGTCCTCGGATGTGGCCTTTTGACTGAGTCCAAGTTTTACATAACAGTCCAAGTTTAATAAAAGGATTAAGGGGATTTGTTCTATGAAGTTTAGATTTAGTCAAAAGCCCACACTTGAGGACCTAGAGGACCACATGTGGCTTTGAGGCCCCAGGTTCCCCACCCCTACCACCACATTATATTGAAATATATTGGCAGAAGGTCCTGAGACATCTTCTTGGACTGTGCATAGTTTAAAAAAAATCTTTACTTTATTTGGTCTTAGTGGTTAAAAGATTTATGAAGCAGTTCTTTCTTTTATATTTTTTTGAAACTAGTCCCAGTGAGCATACAGCACTTTATATGCAAGCTGCTAATGAGTGCTTGGCAGTTCATTAAGATATCGTAGCTTCTTTGTAGCAATCTCACAGGATGGCATCCCTGTGTCAGGTATTCCTCGCCTTTGGAGATGCTTCCTGGATTCATGCCTGAGCCAACACAGAAAGGAAAGTTGTCATCATATTCCTTTCCAGAAGGCTCTTTTGGTTTTTTGAAATGAGTGAGATCCTTAATAATCATTTCTCTGTTAGAATTGGCAGTCCGCTTTATACTTGTTAGGACAAGCATTGTCTTAACTGCTTGGTTGCAGTTTTTCCTCAGTTTATACTTTCCCAATGTATTTTCCCCAGAAAATTGCAAAAGAGAGGTTTTATAGAATAACATTTAAAATCTTGTTTTTGTAATTTATTTACAATTAGAATGCTATTTATTTTAGCAATTAGAACCAAATACATTACTGTATGCTTGAAAATAATTGTTTAAAAATGACTTTTATTCAGAATATGCACTGTTTGTTAAGATAAGGTATCTATACATTCCTGACTACTTTTGCTTAAGCAAAATAAAACATTACAGAGAAATGAGAGGATTTTAGTTAGATAACAGAAGATCTAGCCATCATATACAAAATTATGTATTACCCTGGAATATCTTTTTGAGGACAAAATTAACTTCATAATGAAAAATGCTTATGTTATAGAGAGTAAGTTTATGCAACAGGATCCAAATATTTAAAATGAGACATGATGATAAAATTAGAGATTTAGAGCTAGAATGGGCTTATAATCCATCTAGATTCATCTCTTTATTTCTTTATATGAGAAGACTCAGAGCCAGAACAGGCAAGTGATCTGCCCAAAGACATTAAGTAGTGGAGCTAGAATCTGAACCCAAGTCTTCTGACTCAGAGTCTAGCTCCATCTATAATGTATTATTGTATTTTTTTCGTGTAGGTGCATTGTCAAACATTTCAAGTTTGAATTTTTAATTTTTATTTTCTAATGTTAGAATTTGTAACATTCTTTATTGTTCTCTAGCTTTAGAATGTTTATAGTGATATTGCCATAGCTAATAAATCTTTATACTTATTGTTACTTTCAGTGATTTTTCTATGAGGATAATTTGATTTTTAAGCTATCTTTCTTACAATACAAAGATTTTTAAGCTGTCTACTATGTGTACTAACTATGTACAAGCTAAATACTTACTGTGCTTTTTGGGCCAAAATCTGTCTTTTATTCTCTCATAGCCACGATGTATGTATGTAATAGAGAGAAATAGGTAGCAGGAAGTTTGCTTTCATATCTGCTAGTTGTTCTTTTGTTCCTATCCCAAGTCATATGTGGTTATAGAATCAAAAAATCTAAGAGTTGGAAGGGACCTCAGTCCTGTCAGTATCTGAACCTATACTACATGTCTGAGAAGGGGTCATCCAGCCTTTATTGAAGATTTCCTATGAGGTGGAACCCTCTACCTTCTGAGTATCCTCAGTTCCTTTATTAGATATCAGAAATACTCTGATTGTTAGGAAGTTTTTCATTACATTGATCTAAAAGGTATCTCTCTGCAACTTCTACTCATTGCAATTAGTTTTCCCTTTTGTGCCAAGTAGAACAAAGTCTAAGGCCGTTCTTCTTTTGACAGATCTTTAGAAAACAAAACAAATCCATTTGATCATTTCTTAAGTGTTTTCTAGGCGAACATCTTGAGTTCTGCCAGCTGATCCTCATATGACATGAGGTGTGGAGATCCTTCAACCTTCTGGCCACTTTCTTCTACATGCTCTTTAGCTTTTTATTCCTTCATAAAATATGGGGCTTAGAATATTAGGGTACAATGTGGAACACTCACCTTCCTATTTCTGGATACTATGGCATATCAAACTGTTGACTCTTTTGGAGCCTTCAGTCCACTAAGAGATAGATATTTTTCAAGTGAACTGCATACACCTCACTTTTCTATAGCAGTGAAGTGATTTTTTTGAACCCAAGGGTAAGACTTAAATCTGTCAAGGTTTGATGATTTCTTCTTGCCATCTGCTGCCATCTGCATTGAAGCTGGAAGCCCTGCAGAACCACCAAGTCTCAGAGCTGTTGTCACATCTGTCAAATAGTTGTACCTGGGGCATTATAATAGAACCTGCTCTTGGAGTCTCACAGGCTGATTTATGCAGTTTTTTCCGGCCACTTCATAGATTCCTTGCTTTGTTTTCTTCTTATTTCTTCATTTGTTCAATTCACTTCTCTTTTGCTGCTTATATGAATGCTAAACAGCAGAAGCAAGAACAAGAAAAAAGCAGTCAGCATAATCATTGCTGTATAAGTTTGTTGGGGAAGTGCCTGAAGCTATAACAGGGCTTAGAATAAAAATTTGGGGTTATTTGTGGATTCTAGTTATTATTGTTGTCCCCTTTTTCTCATTATCATTCTTATAAATATGTCCATCTGACTTTTATTTTGGAGGGGTGGGGGAAGGTTTAGATTTGAGATTTCATAGGTACAGGGGAGCACCTAGTGAGAAAACTCCCTCTGCAAGTGTAGATTAGTAACTGTCGGCCAATTTAAAGAGTTGCCTGAGGGCATTTGCCCAGAGTTACATAATGTCAGAGACAGGACTAGAACTCTGAGGCAAGTACTCTGTACTTTATGCTACCGCTCTTAGAGCTAGAGCTGCAAGTTTTAGGCAGCTGTTTTATGGTGCAAACAAACTATATGCTATAATAACCTGGCCTCCTACTCACAAGATTTGGCTGTCTGCTGTTGCTCCTCTCTTCTTGTCTGGTCTGAAGCTTCCTGATGGCCTGAGTGTAGGCTGGGGGAAATTTTTATTTAAGGCATCTAAACTTGGAGAGTGATTATTGGGAAGCAGAAGGTACAAGGCTGCTGGAAGAACATGTAATTTGACGTTGATTTTGAACTCTAAAAGAGCCAAGAGACTTAGGAAAAATTTAATTCTATCTAATTCCTTCTAACCTTTACTTGTTACTTTTTTTCTACCATACACTTGAGCAGTAGTTGTTTACTGAACTTTAAATTAGAGGCCCAAACTAAATTAAGAATTTGTTAGCTTTTGGCTTGTAGGAAAATTTTCTTGCGCAATATCTATAGCTTTTCTAATCTTATTGTCTGCTATACCTCTTCTAAAAGGATTAAATGTCCATAAAAGATACTTTCCTTTTGCTATTTTGCTGACACAGTGTAAGTATCTAGTTAAAATAAATTATTATAGAATTTGTCTTTTGTTATTAGCTTTGGTTACCTTCTTGTAATGAATTCTAATTTTTATCATTTATATTTAAGATGAGAAAGGCTTTTGTCAATGAATTCTAATGTCTCTACTTAGTATAGAGTATTTTAAATTTTTTGATATGAAGCTTACTTTCACCTATTGTGTTATAGACATAATCAGAACCTGTTTCATATATACATATATATGTATATATACATACAGCACACCCCCACACACACATACACACCCACACCCACACACACATAAACACACACATATATTCATTACGTGAAATTAATCTTAAAAGTTAAACAATGTTTGGTTAAGAACTTTTGGCCACCACTTTGTATTAGCTTTTTAAAATGTAGCTTTAGTAATCTTTATAAATTTAAAGGTTGGCTATTTCTCTTGTGACCAGAAAATAAATGAATTCTATTTATAATGAGTAACCTTACTTACTGGGGGTATTCTACAGGATGTCAATCTAGTTTCTGTATAGGAATCCCTAGAGTAGCTAAGCAGGAGGCCAGCTCATAACTAAATTCCTTAAGCCTTTTAACATCCCTGGGCTCCAGTTTCCTCATTTGTATTGAGAAGGTGTTAGACTCACTTTAAAGCTTAGAGCTCTAAAATTTTATTATTTTAATTGTATGAGATTTGGGAGACAGTAGAGAGACTGCTTATTAAAGTGATTCTTTTACAGACAGAACCTCCATTGAACACACCAGAAAATAGAGAGTACCTTGCAGAAATCATGTTTGAATCATTTAATGTGCCAGGACTCTACATTGCAGTTCAGGTAAAAAAATGTATTCTTCATTGTCTTAAATCTTCTTAGCTCTCTAACAGATTGGTAAAGTGAGGTGAATTTCAAAGGGTCATCATTAGAAGGTTTATTTTCTGTCTGTCGTCAGGGTTGAAGAAAAGTACTAAAGTATGATATGGACTCTCTTTGTAAACATGTCCCATAAACTATACTTATTGGAACATTTCATTTTGCTGATGTGCCTTTTGATGGCATTGTGTCTTTCTTTGTCCAACTTTATCTTGGAGAGTGCTGTGAAGTATAGTATGTATTTATGTGCACCAAGACAAAGGTACTCCTTCCTTCTCTGCCCCCCCTTCTGCCCCCCCGAAACAGTACCACCACAAGAGCTGTAAAATGCTGATAAAATTTTTTTTTCCATGTTGGTTTACCCTCTATAGCTTCTATTTTTTTCTTTTGTTATTTCCCGGAGATCCTAGAACCTAGGAAACCCATGTTTATTTTGGGGGGTCTTCTAGTCCATTTTCCTAATTTGTATATATTTTTGGATGTATTTTAGATATACTGATTCAAATTTAGGGCATTAGACTAAATGACACTTGATGTCCTCTCATTCTGTAGTAAAGCAAAAGGAAAAGATTTTTCTCTCTGTTGCCTCTTGGATATTTTGGTGTGTGAATTTTATCTTGTAAAAGAATGTGGTGAAGGATGTTGTACAAATTATAGAATTCTTAAGCTTGTAACAGTTTATTGAAAGCTGGATCCATGATAGACTTAACATTGTTATGCAGTTGATCAGAATGTGATTGACTAAATTTGAACTGAAATTCTGAAGAATAGAGGGGCAAGGAAAGGAAAGAGACTTTGATAGCATTGCTATTACAGGAGAAACTACTTGTTGATTAATCTTGGGAATAAGCAAGATAAATATGTTTTTTCCTCCCTCCTCATAATCTGCTAATTTTCCTTTCATCATTTTAGGCAGTGTTAGCTTTAGCAGCATCTTGGACATCTCGTCAAGTTGGTGAACGCACCTTGACAGGAATAGTCATTGACAGTGGGGATGGAGTAACCCATGTCATCCCAGTGGTAGGTATATTATTCTAATATTTAGTTTCTTGGTAAGTAGGCTCTTTGATTGGGTAGGAGGAGAATTTTGGGAAAAAACCCACTAAATTTTCCTTAAAATGAAAGAAATTTTTTTAGATATCTTTCTTTAAAAATTTATAATAGCACTCTTTAAAAAAATTCTGAACTCAAACACCAAAGAAAGAGCATTTTCACATAGACAACAGAACACCAAAAGAAGATGGTATATAAAATTTTGAATTTACATTTCATACCACTTGCGTATTTTAAAAAAAGTACATATTACTTTAAAACCTGACCTTGGTTATCTGTGTGTTTCTTTATGAGCTTCTTTCTGTTCTTCTCTCCCTTCAAGTGAGAAAAAAGAAAAACCTAAACCATTGTAATTCATAAGCATAGTTAAGAAAAATGAATCTAGAGTAGCCGTGTCCTAAAATGTATGTCTCTTTTCCTGTACCGTCAGTCTATCACTGTTTTGTCATAAGAAGGATAATATGTTTAATTGTAGATCTTCTAGAGACCTGGATGATTTTTGTATTGGGCAAAGTTCTTAAGATCTTTCAGTTTTTTTTCCTTTAAAATGTTGTTGTTCTTGTACTTATTGTTCTCCTAGTTCTTTTCACTTTATTTGTCAGTACATGCTATCCAGGATTCTCCAAAATGATCTCTTTTGTGATTTCATACAGGTTAGTAATTACATTCTTGTGTGGAATTTGTTCATCCATTCCCTAATTGATGGACACTCCTTAGATACTAGTTCATTACTTTTTTCCCACTCCTTTAATCCTAAAATACTATTACTCTAACAGGGAGGCAGCATGGTGTAGTGGTTAGACAGCTAGCTTTGGAGTCAGGAAGACCTAAGTTCAAGTATAGCCTGTGACTCACATTAGTTTTGTGACCTTGGGCAAGTCACAGCCTTTCAGTGATTCCAGTTAGCAATCTTAAGAGACTTTAAGTTGCATAGGAATTTTTGATCTGCTTTGTTTGAAGGAGTTTCAGTGCTGGTAGTGTCCTAAACCAATGAAATTAAATGTGAATATCACCAGACCCAGTCTTCTTCTGTGGCCCACCTGTCTACTACCCTGTCATCCCCTTTGCTCTCCCTATGCAAAAAAGAAAAAAAAACTGGTTTGTGATGAAGAGAGGATGATGCTCTGTCATCTTGGCAGTTTTTTGGTGGTAAATGGTGGTTTAGGATATTTAGGTCCCAAACCTTGAACTCCTAGTGTTTTCACTAAGGAAAACTATTGTTTCACATGTCATTTCAAAGTATTAAGGTATCCACTCTGAATAAAGATTTGGGAGCAAAAGTAGGTTTTGATCAGTTTATGATGTTTTTCTTTTTTTTTTTGTCTGCTCAAAAAATAGAGAAGTTTTAAACATGTTTGCTTCATATAAATATTGTTTCTTTCAGTTTATCCAAATATCTTAAGATACAGAGAGCAGCATAAAAGAGAACTAAAAATTTTGCTAGCTATAGAGCACTGTACATAAAATCACTAGTGGTTTTGATAAATATTTTTTCCCTAAATACTAGAACAGGGATCCCTAAAGGTTGGTTTAAGGACTCAAGGTTGTGTAATTAGTCCAAGGTGGGTATTATAAAATTGTTAGATTTGCTTTGATTTTTGCCATCTATCCCTTTAAGGAGGTAGACATGGGATGTGAAAATTTCAAAATCTGTCAAAAATCCTCTCAGACCTTTTTATAGACCTTTATTAATACCACGTGGTTGTGACCAAATGTAGCTTTTTTTTTTCTTTCTGCCAATTCAAGATTTGGGCTGTTTTTCTGATTTCTTGACCTTTGTTTCTCACAAAAAATTCTTGAAGCCAAAAGAGGGGCAGGTGCTGGTGTTGGACACTTGGGCCTCCTCTCCTTTCCCTGGTTTCCTTATAAGCAGTGAAAAATTCACCTTTTTTTCAAAGAATGTGAATTTTATCTAATGTGTTATAGCACTTTTTTTTCTCCCAAGCTCTGAAATCTAAAAAATTATACTAATTAAAAATCTTTTTAATGTTTATTTTGTTCTGTGGTCACTGTGGTATTTAATACTTATATAAATAAGTATTAATATTGGTACTTATGAAGTATATATTTGTTAATGTGTTAAAGTATAGACATTACAACTAACAATTTTAAGATTAGAAAGTTGCCAACATTTTGGATCCTTTAACAGTTTGTTGTCATTTACATTTAGTATTTACCTGATAGTGGCAAGTCTTCATAGTGTCTAGTGGAGAGGTTCTTTACCTTTTCTGTGTCGTGAACCTCTGTGGCAGTGTGGTGAGGGCTATAGACCCCTTCCCCAAATAAAGTGTTTTTGTTTTGTTTTGTTTTTAATTTTAAAATTTATCATTTATTTTTAACATTTTTTTCTTTCTAAATTTGGAGTTCCATATTCTCTCCCTCCCTCTCATCCCTTCCCCACCCACTGAGAAGGCAAATTATTTATCAATACCTGTGAAATCATGCAAAATGTATTTCCATATTAACCACATCACAAACAAAGCAAACAAATTAAGAAAGTGAGAAAATTATACTTCAGTTTGCATTCAGAATTCATCAGTTCTCTCTGGAGAAGGATAGCATTTTTCATCATGAGTCCTTTGGAATGGTCTTGGATTATTGTATTGATCAGAGTAGCCAAGTCTTTCACAGTTGATCATCATTACAACATTGCTCTTATTGTGCACTGTAATTTCCCAGTTCTTCTCATGTCTCTTTATATAAGTTCACATAAGTCTTGCTGTGTTTTTCTGAAACTATCCCTCTTTATCATTTCTTAGCACAATAGTATTCCATCACAGTCATGTGGCACAACTTGTTCAGCCCATTCCCAATTGATGAGCGTCCCCTCAATTTCCAATTCTTTGCCATCACAAAAAGAGCTGCTATAAATATTTTTGTACATATAGGTCCTTTTCCTTTTTCTTTGATCTCTTTGGGGTTTTGACCTAATAGTACTATTCCTGGATTAAAGAATATGTACAATTTTATAGCCTTTTGGGTATAGTTCCAGATTGTTCTCCAGAATGGTTGGACCAGTTCATTACTCCACCATCAGTTCATTAATGGAACTATTTTCCTTCATCTCCTCAGCATTTGTCATTTCTGATACATGTGAGGTGGTACCTCAGAGTAGTTTTACTTTTTCTAATTAATAGTAATTTAGAGAATTTTTTATATGTCTGCAGATAACTTTGATTTCTTCTTCTGAAAACTGCTTTTTCATATCATTTGTTCATATATCAATTGGGAAATGGCTTTTATTTTTACAAATTTGACTCAGTTACCTATATATTTGAGAAATAAAGCCTTTGTTAGAGAAACTTGCTGTACAATTTTTTTATATTACTTCATTGTCTATGGTACCTTTTGGCAAAATGTAGTGTCCTTGATTATCTCTTTTAGTTAGATTTATTTTTGCTTTTGTTTTGTCTGAGATCATGATTGCTACCTGTTCCCTTTTTGTAACTTCAGCTGAAGCATAGTAGAGTCTCCTTCAGCTCTTTATTTTAACTCTTTGTGTGTCTTTGTGTTTCACGTGTGTCTCTTGTACATAACATATTGTTGGATTCTAGTTTCTAAATCCATTCAGCTATCTGCTATTTTATGAGTTAGCTCACCCCATTCACTCTCACAGTTATGATTACTAACTGTATTTCCCTCCATCTCGCTTTTTGTCCTGTCCCTCTTCAGTAGTCTTTTTTGCTTCTGACCACTGTCTCCTTCAATCCACCCTCTCTTTTATCATCCTCAGCTCTACCTCCCTGTACCCCTCCAGCCCATTTCATATCGCTTATCCCCTTCCCCTCCTATTTCTCTATTGGGTAAGATAGATTTCTGTAGCCAACTTGGTGTGTGCAAATATATAAATATAAATGTATACATATGTGTGTATGTATCTGTGTGTATATTCTTCCCTCTGTAAACCAATTTTAATGAGAGTGATTCAAACATTGCTTGCCCATTCCCCCCATCCATTTTCTTCTTCACAATGAAAGCTCTTCCTTTTGTGCCTCTTTTATATGAAAAAAATTTCCCGTTCTATCTTTCCCTTCCCCCTTCTTCCAGTGCATCCCTCTTTCTCACCCCTGTATTTTTTTGAGGTCATCCCAACATAATCAACTCACACCTGTGCCCTCTATGTAGACTTCTTCTAACTCCTAATAATATTAAAGTTCTTAGAAGTTATGTGCGTCATCTTCCCATATAGGAATGTTAATAGTTTATTGAGTCCTTTATAATTACTCTTTCATATTTACCTTTTTATTCTTCTCTTGAGCCTTCTATTTGAATGTCAGATTTTTTACTCAGCTATGATCTTTTCATCAAGAACCTTTGAAATTTCTCTATTTCATTAAATATCCATTTTTCTCCTGAAGGATTATATTCAGCTTTGTGAGATAGACTATTCTTATAATCTTAGCTCCTTTGCCTTTCAGAATCCTTCTGCTCCTTTTATGTAGGAGCTGCTATATCTTGTATGATCCTGACTGTGGCTCCATGATATTTGAATTGTTTCTGTCTAGATGTTTGCAGTATTTTCTCCTTGACCCGGGAGCTTTGGAATCTGGCTGTAATATTCCTATGAATTTTCATTTTGGGGTGTCTTTTAGGAACTGATTGGCAGATTCTTTCAATTTCTATTTTACCCTCTGGATTTAAAATACAGGGTCAGTTTTCCTTCATAATTTCTTGAAATATATGATATCTAGGCTCTTTTTTTGATCATGGTTTTCAGCTAGTTTAGTAATTCTTAATTTATTACTCCTCAATCAATATTCCAGGTCTGTTGTTTTTCCAATGAGGTAGTTCACATTTATCTTCAATTTTTTCATTCTTTTACTTTGTTTTATTGTTTTCTGAAGTCTTGTGGAATCATTGGCTTCTATTTGGCCAATTCTAATTTTTAAGAAATTATTTTCTTTAGTGAGCTTTTGTACCTCTTTTTCCATTTGGCCAATTCTAATTTTTAAGAAGTTCTTTTCTTCAGTAAATTTTTGTGCCTCTTTTACTATTTGACCAATTCTGTTTTTTTAATGAATTATTTTCTTCAGTATTTTCTTTTTGTGTGCCTCTTTTACTAAGCTCTTAATTCTCTTTTAATAATTTTCTTACATCACCTTAATTTCTTTTTCCAATTTTTCTTCTCTCACTCTTATTACTTTCTTTAACTCTTCCAGGAATTCTTGGGCTTGGGTCCGATTAGCTTTTTGCTATGAGAGTTTGCTTGTAGGTGTTGTCACATTGTTGTCTTCTAAGTTTATGTCTTGATCTTCCCTGCCACGTTAGTAATTTTTTATGGTCAAGTTCTTTTTTTGCTGTTTGTTCATTTTCTTAGCCTGTTTCTTGACTTTGAACTTTATGTTAAAGTTGGGCTGTGTTCACCCTGGGGGTGGGGAAGCACTGTGTTAAGCTTCAGGCTTTTTCATGCTGCTGTTTTCAGAGTTAGTTCTGGGGTCTGCAAGTTTTCAGTGCTTCCAAGGTGATGTGATCCGCGAAGAGATGTCATCACTGCACTTCAGGTCTGTACCCTGGTCTTTACCCTGCTCCCCTGTAGCTGCAAGTTTTAGTGTTCCTCTCCACCTGCAACTGAGACCCAGAACTGCTTATGGCCAATAGAGTTGGCAGTCAGCACCAGCTGCATCCACTGCCAGCAAAGGGTCCTCTTTAATCTTTTTCTGACTAGTTGTCCAACCCCTTTATCTACTCTGGTCTGAGAGTTCCTGAAGCTGCTACTGATGCTGCTATGGTGGCCACTACCGATGCTCCTGCTGCACTCCAGGCCTGTACCTACCTCTTCTATGGACCTCCTAAATTGTCTTAGGCTGGATAAATGTCTCCTTCTGACCTTTTGTTGGCTTTGCTACCCAACATTTGATTTTAGGCATTATATTAAAGTTGTTTGGAGGGGAATATTGGGAGAGTTCAGCTGGGTCCTGGCCTATACTCTGCCATCTTGGCTTTGCCCCCTAGAATAATGTTTTTAAATGTATAAACTAAAATACACAGCATTGCAAAGGAAATCAGAAGTTAGTGACAATAAAGATGTGTTTTTTCCAATCCAAATTCGTAGATTCTTCCTGATACCTATTGTTGGTGGATCCCAAGTTAAGTTCGTCTGGTTTAGAGTGATGTGGAGTTGATTTAAATAGTTCTCCACCTCAGATTATTTATCCTGAAGGCTGATTAGAGAGATACCTTTCCATTTTCTGAGTTTTCTGGGATTCGTTTTGTATTACTGCTAGTGCTAGTGTTCTTCTGGAGTCAGCACTGTCTACTGCTAGGATTCCTTTGAGCAGTAGTGGTCAAAAATTGAGGAATTTTTATTGATGCATCGTGATGTTTGGTATTTCCTGTTTTCTCATGCTTTATAGATAATAGTTCCCCTATATGGATGGCACAATGTAGTGGCAGAAGGAGAGAATCTGTTTACATATGAGACCAGTCAGCTTTTGGTTAAGGTAACATTAGGCAGTGAGAGGGCGCAGTAGAAAGAGTGCTGGGCCTGGACTCAGGAGGACCTGAGTTCAAATGTGGCATCAGACACTTACTAGCTATGTGACTCTGGGAAAGTCACTTTATCCTGTTTGCCTCAGTTTCCTCATCTGTAAAATGAGCTGGAGAAGGAAATGGCAAACCACTCTGGTATCTTTGCCAAGAAAACCCCAAATGATGTCATGAAGAGTCAGACACTATTGAAAAAAAAAAGACAAAGGTAGTATTGAGTTATATTGCTTTAAATAGAAAACATATTGTTCTTTAGTGTTTGGGGTTGTTTATTTTTGAATGATAACAATAATCAGTTTTGTTATTATTAACAACAACTGTTCACATTTATATAGTAATTTGTAGTTTACAAAGCTTTATGCATACCATATCTCATTTGATTCCTGAAACAACCTTGTGAACTAGGTAATATAAGTATTACTATGCCATTTTTATAACAAGAAGAAACTGAGTTTCAGAGAAGTAGAGTCAGTTGTAAGAATTTTAATTAGGACTTGAACCTAGGTTTTTTCCTAAATCCAATGGCTTCTCAACTGCATCAAGCCACATTTTTTAGAGGTATAGTCAATAGTAGATGTGTAATCAGTTGAATTAACATTTTATAAATAGAATAGTTTTTCTTTTAGTGAACAGAAAACTTGTATTTTCTGGATATCATATCTTGTAAGTAATGGAATTTCCCACATAGTTTTTGCTTAAGTACCCATAGTGAAATTATTGTTTATAGTTTCTCAGGTTATTGAGGTTTAAGTTTTAAAGCAATTTTTATAGTCACCCAGTATAGTGCTTTGCACACAGTGGGAATTTAGCAAATGATTGATGACTAAGTAAACTAAAAGTATATACTGAGTTGAAGAACTTTAAAAGGACTTTTTCTTACCAAGCTCTTTTTCTTTCCTTGTAGGCAGAAGGTTATGTAATTGGAAGCTGCATCAAACACATCCCTATTGCAGGTAGAGATATTACATATTTCATTCAACAGCTCCTAAGGGAGAGGGAGGTGGGAATTCCTCCTGAGCAATCACTGGAGACAGCAAAAGCCATTAAGGTAAAATTAATGTAAAATTGGTTAGTTTGGGGATGAGAAAGATGGGTTTTGGGTTTTTGGGGGGCTTATAATTTTTCCTTTTAAATAATGCCTCTCATATATATATATATACATATATACATATGTGTGTGTGTATATATATTTATATGTATATATTAGTAAATATAGGAGTGGCTTATATTCCAAAAGTTTATTTCTCAGTCCATTGTTTGGAATTTAGAATGTATTTTCCCATAGAAACAATTTTTAAATGATGATTAGGGTTCCAGGCTATACCACAAAAAATTGTTTAAATCACTGTGAAGCAGAAATAATACTATTAGTAGCCTCTGTGAAGTAGAAATAGGACAGTTAGTAGCCTTAAACTTCTCTAAACTGTGTCTGAGTTGTGAATCCTAAGCTTTATCCTTGTCTGTCTGTCTTCCCTGTCCCCCATTGCCCCTTAGTCCTAAGAGAGAAATGGGTGGGGGAAGCAAGTATGCTCAACAAATGTTGTCAACGTTGTAAGGGAAGATTAATGGGGATAGTAACTAGAGTGGGGAGGGGAAGAATCTCCTGAAAATAATATGTAAATGCACTGAACTTATCACCTGACTGAAGTACACTTAAAGGTTAAAGCTTTAAAGAGAGGTAAAAGAGTTAAAGAGAGCTCAAGTGATTTTCTGAGAATCACAGACTTGATAGTTTAAGAGACAGGACTTGAATTCAGGTCTTCTTGCCATGAAGGCTAGCTTTCTATACTATATCATGCTGCCTCTCAAGGTTAAAGTGAAGTTAAGAAGAATTCTTTTGGAGTGTTAAATAATAATCAAATTTAGAATCTAAAATTAGTATTGTAAGTCTGAAGCAGGACATTTTTATCATTAATATGCATAAGAATACACATATTGGAACATAACCTACATGAGTCCTAATGAAGTAATGACCTTCAATTTACTGGGATTTTTTTCAGCACTTTACTTTTTTTGGAAAGAGGCAAATTAAAAAAAAAGCTAACATCATGGATTTAGTGTATTGTTACTTTCAGGATAGTTCTGGAGTCAGTACATATTCCACCATGTTGCATATCTGCTGCATTTCCAGTCTTCTACAAAAATAATCAATGTTGGCATTCATTGTAAGATTAAAAACAAGAATTAATTCTGTTCATAGTACTTTAAGTACTTAAGTCAGGAATATGGACCTAAGACATTATAGAAAGTCTTTTCATAATCAGGTTTTGAAGCAAAGAGTTATTTTGGTCAACTCTCAGTTAAACAAAATACCTAGTTAACTGGAAGGCTGGCATTCCAGCGTGTGATAATCTTCTATATTGTTAAATTTGAGAAGTTAACTTTTTTTTTTTTTGTGAAGCAGTTGGGGTTAAGAGTCACACAACTAGTGAGTGTTATGTATGTGAGGCCAGATTTGAACTTGGGTCTTCCTGACTCCAGGGCCAGCGCTCTCTCCACTGAGCCACCTAGCTGCCTCGAAGAAGTTAACTTTTTAAAGGTGTCATCTTTTTAGGCAGTTTAAGAAAAGGTAAAAATAGTGTTAAAGAACAAATTTGTCCAGTTCCCAATTTCTCTTATTTAAAAATACAGGAAGTCCTTTAAAGACTTTTAGTACTTATAACAAAGGTGGAGGAGCAGTGGTTGGGCCCAATAAAAGAAACTCAAGCTATGAAAGGAGTTTAGACACTGGCGTACCCTAGTCTTTTATTTTTATTTCTTTTGTCTTGGCTTCTCAAAAAAAATCCAAAAAGGAAATTATTCAGACATAGGTGGTTATTACAACAATCAATCCCTAGCTGTGAATTGGTATTAACAGCTGTTGATAACCCTTAGCAAAAGTGGGTTATCCGTGGGTAAAAAAAGCATGGGATAGCACTGGGAATGTAATAAGTGAAGAAGGGTAAATATAATCTAACATTTCCTAAATTTCTCAAACTGTGTTCCTTGAAATTTTATGTGAATGGGAGAGTTCCATGACTGCTTGTGTGGAGATGATGGAAACCTGGGGATGGGGGTGGAAATTGATTATTTTTCTTTAGAATTTGTGATAGAGAAAAAGGAAGAAAGTTGAATATGGTCTTGATATAAACCCAGAATTTTAAGAGAGCAGGTCTGAAAGTGTTCATAGGTGGGATCTAGTGACTAAAATTTTATGGAGTTAGCCAGACCAAGAGAGAAGGGATATTATTAAGAATGAAATGGTAAAGTCACAGAGAAGAAGTTCCAGAGATGTGGAGGAACAGTGGTTGTCTGAAGGAACTGATGTGGATGCACAGAGAATTTACCAAGTAACTTGGATTTTAAAAAGAAATGCACAGAAAATGAAAGCAAAGACAATCAGATGAATACAGATGAATACAGATGTGTGACACATTCCATGAAGAGGAGTGTCAGGAGAGGTTTAAATCTCCTTCCTAATTCCTCCTAAGTTTATGAAGTCACAGCAACTAAAGATTAGTTAATAGAGATAATGAGGCATCAGTGTGCTGACACCTGAAGATTTTCTTTATAAAGTGCAACCTTTCTTTGATATAATTAAAGGGAGCAACCTCATTGGACAAGCAAAAATAGCTACGGACTTTGAATAGCTAAGCTCTGGATGAATCCAGCAGTTTTGGGGGAGTGAATGTAAGGAGCTACTTGTGGAGGAGCCCCCTGCAGGGCAGGGTGGTATGAGGAGCCTTCTTTCTTCTCTCTCTCCCTCCATTAGCTGTGTAGCTTTTAAGGGGAACTACTTGACCAGTAGGAGAGACTTTATGCACTGGGGAGCAGAAACACACACTCTAGACAGACAAATGAATGACAGGAGACAAGAATGAGAGACAAGAAACAGTCGCCAGGAGTGGATCCTTTGGCAGCAGAGAAGGGAGCTGGCTGTGGAGTTAAGAGAATGCCAGCCTTGGCGATCCAGAGTTGGGCTGTGGACAGGATTCCCTGAAGAGAGAAAGGAGTTCCAGGCCCTGCAGTTCTGGAGTCGTGAATTGCTTTTGCACAGTTATTTCTGCATTTGTGCTTCACTGCCCTTGTACTCTGTAGCTACTTTTCCCATGGACAGTGTGTATATGAGTGGAACAGTGTGCCCAGTTGTATGGAGGGAATATTTTGTAACTACTATTTTTACTATGCCATTTTAGTAAATTCTGTTGCTAATTACATCTACTGACTTTGCTAATGAATGCACACAGATGAGGGGTCAATGAATTATTGTGTTACAGAACCACAGACTGCTCCAAAAAACCTGGGAATAACAGACACCCTTGGGGAGAGAGCCCAGAGGATGTGTTATACTATGGGGAATATATTTCGGTGGCCACTGGAGAAATTCTCCTTGGATGGCCTAGCAGGGATGTATTAAAGAAAAATTAGCATTTATAAGAATTTTACAATTTTACAATTGGATAATTAGCTTTCCAGTGTATTTCCTTTACGAGTCATAACTTTTGCATTGTTGAATTCTTAAGTATGAATTGCCTATTTATTATTGTATGCACTAGGAATATGAAAGCTGATATAAAAAGTATGGATGTTTTATCTCTAGAACATTGGTACCTGGCTTTTTTGTGTGGCAAAGAATTAGAAACTGAACAAAAGGCTGAACAAGTTATGGTATATATATGTGATGGAATACTATTATGCATAAGAAATGATGAAGGGGATGGTTTTAGAAAAACCGGGGAAGACTATAAACTGATACAAAGTGAAGTGAGCAGAACCAGGAAAACAGTTTATACAGTAACAAAAATACTCTTAAAGAAAAACAACTATGAAAAATTTAGGAACTAAACACAGTGTAACTAACCACAGTTCCAGAGGACTCCTTATGAAACATGCTATCCACCTACAGATGGGTGATAGACTTGGGGTACAGATTGAAGCATGCACACACATGCATACACATATGTGTATACATGTGATAGAGTGTATATATATGCATATAAGTATATGTATATTTTGAACATGGCTAATGGAGAAATTTGTTTTGCTTGGTCTTATTTTTTTAATGGGTTTTGTTTATCTAGTTCTCAGTAGGTGGGAGAGAATTTGAAAATAAAAATAACAAAAAATTGAATTTAAAAAATAGATTACTGGTGACTGGAAATTTTGCCTAGAATACACTAAGGGAACTTATTAAAAAAAATTGTTGAGTGGATCTAGACTACTTCTCTTACTGTGTGGCATGAGTTTAGACAATTTGTCTAAGAGCCTTGTGTGCTGTTGGTCCATAGCATAATGTTTTCCTATTTGCCTAGAAACCCTGAGTAACCAGCTCCAACTGCTCAGTTCCTTTTTTTGCTAGGGGAACTGTATACTTCTTTTGGACTTTTTCAAGTTTGTTTTCCTTTTTTTTTTTTTTTTGGCAAGGCAGTTGGGGTTAAGTGACTTGCCCAGGGTCACGCAACTAGTAAGTGTCAAGTGTTTGGTCTGAGGTCGAATTTGAACTCAGGTCCTCCTGACTTCAGGGCTGGTGCTTTGTCCATTGTGCCACCTAGCAGCCCCTTTGTTTTCCTTTTTAAGTTGGCTGTTTTGTCTAAGGGAGAGGTAAAGTCAGCCCTCCAATTCGATTGGAGGTTGGAGGAGGAATAAAAAAGTTTGTAAAAATTGCTGTGGTAAGTGGGACCAAAAGTCAAAATGGGAGGTGTAAAAGGACTGCTTTGCTTCAATGAGGTCTCAGTTAAGATTACATAACATGACTAGTAGCAGAACCAGTAAGTGAGGCTTTCATGATTTTCTGTAGCTTCATTCAACAGCACAAATGGAAGTGAGGAGAGCAGATGGTAGGAGTAATCCAAGGCAGAGGCTTGTCAGGGAAAGATTAGCCACAGAACAAGGGGCACATGACGCAAGAGAAGACTACCATGTGTATAGAATTTAACTGGTTCGACAAGCAATCAGTAAGGACCCCAGAAAAAACTGAGGGGTCAAGACTGAAGTTACGGTGAGGAAAAAAAACAGTTTAATGCTGAAAGGCAGAAGGAAAGGTAGAATGATAAGTGTGTGATCAGATAAGGAAATTTCAGAGTTCATAAACATGGAAATAGTGCTTTTGTGGATGATGGCAAGATCATTTCTGTGTGTATCTAAGGTAGGGTGGAAAAGTAGGATATGGGAAATGAATAATTAAGGAACTCAGAGGTTAGGGTGTTTGAGGGACTGTTAATATCTATATTGAAATCTGTTAGTATGAGAGCAGGAGTTAAGGAAGAGAGGAAGATTATGAGCCAGGCACTGAACTCATTGAGGAAAAAAAAAAGGGGGTGGGGTGGGAATATCCTGGGGGTTAGTAGACAACAGCTGCCAAAATTTTGATTGGGTGATGGCTGTGGATTCAGTGAACCTCAAATGAGAGATTACTGAGTGATGGTGTCAGGAGAGCCTGGAAGTGGCAGTAGGGAGCAAGGAACATTCCAACTCCACCTCAGCCAGTGAGTTGGAGAGGAATGAGAGGAAGTACTGGAGCAGCCAGTACTTTTAAGGGTCACCAAAGAAACTGTGTTATTAGGATGAAGCCAGTGTGAGCCTGAAGATATAAGGAGTAGGAAAGGTAAAGATTTAAGATAAAACCATTTAAGATAAAACCCATGGAGCATGCTCATTTTGGAGAGCACAGTGAAAAAGGGTGGATAGCTTTTGAGTAGGACACTGGAGGGGGAGAAGGGGCTCTTTGTGAGGAATTGTAATAACAGAGCAGGCAATGAGGGATGAATTTGAATAGTGACAGCTGGGGATTCAAATCACTAGGGTGGGGAGAATATGACCAGGTGGAAGTTTGGTAATCATTGAGTAATAAGTTCATGTAGGTTATCAATATCCCTAGAGGTTTGGTCTTTGGGTAGAGTCCTCTCAGCATCAAGCAGCTCAGATGAAAGGGACAAATAAGAGGGAGTTGATGGAAAGACTTTCCCCACCCCCCCACACTCTAAAGGCAAGAGACTGCTTTCTTGAGTGATTTTTGGCTGCATAATCTGAAAAGTTTTGGCTACTAGGTAGAAAATGTAGTGATAGATATGTTTCAGTGCTGGCCCAGAAGTCCACAATAAGTTTGGGCAGTCAGGAGTGGCATTTGCTCTCTGTGCCCCTCAGATCAGTAGCTGGTTGTGTCACTACTGTCCATTATTATTATTCCTCTCTTTTCTTATTTCTTTGTTACTTAAGAAAAAAAACAACAAAAAAACCAAAACCAAACCTCAGCAGAGCCCTTCTGAAAAACTGTTGCATAATGCTCCCAAGAGCTGTAAGATATTTTCATTGCAGCATATCTGTTATAATTTTATTTTGTTTTGCTTTACTTTTATTTGCCTTGTTTGTTTTTCCTCAGTTGGAGAAAGGTGAGAGGGAGAGAATATAAATACTTAAATTAAAAAAAATCAAAGAAAAAAATTAAAAGTCACTTAATCTCTCTGAGGCCTTCATTTCCTTATCTGTACAATGAATCAATTGAACTAGATGACCTGTTAATATCCCTTCCAGCTCTAAATTTTATAATCTGTGATCTTTCAGTATCAGAAGACATAATTTATCTGGGACAAGATATCTGAGTGTGTCAAAGGCCATTCGATGTTCTCTTATTGTCACCATTTTTTCTCTTGAGAATCTTTACCCTCTTCCTCTCCCATTAGGGATACCCCCTGCTCTGAGCTCATTTGGATACTAATTGTTTCAAATTGGCTTAGACCCTTACAGGGTGGGGCATTCATCCTCTTCCTCTCTCACTAAGAGGCTCCTCTTCTCTCAACCCTTATGTAAGAATTTGGTTTAACTTTAGAGGAATGAAAATTGTTCTTGGTCCCTATAGGGCACTTGAAATTTTTCTTGGGGTTCCAGGAATACCAATTGATTCCTTCCATTTCCTTTTCCAGCCCATTTTACAGATGAGGAAATTGAGGCAAACAGGGTTAAAAAATGACTTACTTATCTTACACTTCACTCCTTCCCCATATTCTTCCCTCTCATTCAGACCCTGAGGTCTAGTGACACTGGCCTCCTTAATATTCTCTGAACTAGACACTCCATCTCTTGACTCTGCTTTTTCACTGGCTATCTCACATGCCTGGACCCCCCCTCCCCCTTCTTCCCCCTCTTCAAGTCCCAGCTAAAATCCCACATTCAGGAACGTTTTTCTGATTCCCCTTAAGAGCACTCCCTTCTGTTGATTATCTCCAAGTATATATCTTATTTGTACATAGTTGTTTTCGTGTCGTCCCCCTCATTAGACTGTGAACACCTTGAGGGCAGAGACTGTCTTTTGCCTTTATATCCTTAGCTCTTACCACAATGCTTGCCATAGAGAAAGTTACTTAATAAATTGTTGTTAACTGACTTTTTAGCTCCTGTTAAGTGGCAGGCATTGCATTTAGGTGCTGGAGATACAAATAGGAAAGTGAGATAGTCCTTATCCTCAATGGTTTATTTAGCATGTTCCTCTCAGTCACAAAATCAGTTGCATTCAGCAGGTTTAATTGAACAGAAAATTCACCATATTTACTCTTGAAAATTAATTACATAAAGCTTAATTTGAATTTCATTTTCACAGTTGTTTTAAAATGTGGATCAAATATTAATTTCCCTTAATTTTTAACTTGGAGGAGTAGGGTAAAAGAAAGCTATAGAAAATATTCTAGCTTAAAGGAAACAGTCTGCAGTTATGCTTCGTTGTGTTTTATTTTGAACCTCCCACATCTGCCCTCATATTGTGTTTCACAAATCAATTTAGCCATGGGAACATGTTCAGATTTGAATGAATTGATAGAGCCTATAAAAGTTGGAGTTTGGGAGGGTTTTTTTGTGGGGGGAGATGGAGGGGCATCTGGGTATATGGAATACTCTTAGGATGTGTATCTGGAGTGGTGTCACATACATTTTGTTTTGCTTTTTAGTTAAAGTTTTGTTTATGCCTTCTGAGTCTTCCCTTGTAAGAAAAGAAGGGAAAAAAAACCTTTAAAAGTAACACATATTGATTATGACTGATAGTGTATGCAACATTGGAATTAGGGAAATTTTGAAGCAAAATAATGGAAATTAAGCCAATTTTCATCCCCCCCCCGCCACATAATAAGTGTTTAAAAACATGATTTCAGATTTCATATTTTAGAGGGAAAATACTGCTATCACCAAAATTTATTCATGTAACTGTCCTAGTCACATCAAACTAAAAATCAGAATCACACAATTTTGAGTTGCAAAAGATTTCAATGATCATCTAGTTTAACTTGTACTAAAAAAAGAATCTCCACTACCACATACCTCACAAATGTATGTGTTTGTAGGCAGTTGATAAACTTTTGTAAAATTTTTAGCACCATCTTAGTATAGTACCATTTTTGTCCTGGCCTTTTGGTGGTTGAGATGTCATGAGAAACTCACTAGGATCCAGTTCAGTACAATCAGCAGGCATTTAATAAACACCAACCTTGATCCAGACACTGGAGATATAAAGGTAAACATGAAAATAGTCCCTGCCTTCAGGATGCTTATATTTTACTAGTTGGTAATTTGGAAGCTCTAAAAAGTCTTAAATTCAGTAGGCTAAGATTCCTCAAAATTTTCTTTTTCTCATGCTCTGTTATGTAACTGAAGAAGCCATGGTAAACACTATACTTACTTCTCTATAGAGCTTACAGATGACAGTAGACTAATTCTAAATCTGAAGATGATCAGATTCTTATGTAAGCCTGTTCCTAGGAAACGCTGTTTATGGCCAATTCCTTTTGATGAGAATGTAGAGTTTTAACCTGTCACCGAATTCTGTTACTGAAGCAATTTGCTGTCTAATTGCAAAGATACTGATTGACAAGTAATTGAAAAACATACTCAAGAAGACAGCATGTCTTTCAGAAGACTGAGAGAGTTTGGAAGGCAGTGTGTGATCATAATCCACATCAAGCTGAGTGTAGTGATGTTCAGATATACCCATGCTCTAGAGATGTTACACCTCTTATAGTTTGATCAGTGCCCTCTGTGAACTACAATGGACAGACAAGACCACTAACAACGAAGCACTGGATTCCAGCCCGTCTACACCATGGAAGAAATGCTTACTGCTGCATGAAAAATCGATGACAGTAGGATATCTAAACATTTGATGTGTGGGAAGCTAAAGTGAAACAACAGTAGGGTGAATCGCTGAAAACAGTACTTTGAAATGAAGTATCAAATTATATTGGCAGAATTCTGAGATGGGCAAAGGCATTAAGCTAAAATTGAGATAACTAGGTTACAAATAGCAGTAGGATCAAGTCACAAATTAAAGGATACTTTGTAGTATCAAAAAGTTTGCTAGTTGAATTCATCAGACTGTTAGTTGTTCCTATACTCTGGGTAAATTACTGTAAGGAATATCTTTAAATGCAATAGATGGTAATAAATATAGCCTTTTATTTTTATTTTTTTGAGTCATAGACAGGTTGCATGTTAGAGGTCTGGCTGCTGCATAATGCTGCTGTATTTTTTGATTGAGAGAATACATTTTAGTTAGTCCTTAATGTCTGGTGATCTTCATATTTTGTGCAGGAGAAGTACTGTTATATCTGTCCTGACATAGTTAAAGAATTTGCCAAGTATGATATAGACTCACGTAAATGGATCAAACAATACACAGGCATCAATGCAATCAACCAGAAGAAATTCATTATAGATGTTGGTTATGAAAGGTTCCTTGGACCTGAAATTTTCTTTCATCCAGAGGTAAGAAAATTTTGTGTGTGTGTGTGTGTGTGTGTGTGTGTGTGTGTGTGTGTGTGTGTGTGTGTGTGTGTGTGTATGTATGTATGAGCTGTAGATTGTGTTTTTTGGAGCAATAGCACCACCTACTGTGAAAAGACAAGTTTTCAACAAAGGTGTCAAATGGAGAAAGTTGGGTATCTGGTGATAGCTTGTTATACTTACATATTAAAAAAATCTCTAAGAACTCACACACAACTACCATAGTAAAGGGAACACCAGGCTAGGAACCAGGAAATCTGCATTCAAGTTCTGACCAACACTTAAATGTATTTTCTTAGGCAAGTCACTTTACCATTCTGAGCCTTTGTCTCTTCATCTGCAAAAGGACAATAGTACTTACCTTATAGAATTGCTGGGAAGAACATGCTGAATAAACCTAAAAAAGGCTCTAGAAATGTTATGTTTTTTAAAGAATATGTTACACATGTGTCATAGTTTACGATTTACAGAATGCTTTTACATAGATTATTTTGTGTGATCCTTAACAGCCTTGTGAGATAGGCAGTTCAGGTGTCACCAACAAAGTAATTTTCCTGGAGCGAAGTTGTGATCATGTCATCACCCTCTTCCTCAAATGCCAGTGGCTCCCTGTTACTTCCAGAATCAAATATAAATTCCTCTGTTTGGCACTTAGAGCCAGGTTATGAAAACCTGGCCTCATCCTACCTTTTGTAGTTTATTATATATTATTATTTTGATGTACTCTACAATCCATCTAAACTAGTTTTCTTGCTGTTACTCATGTATGACATTACATTTCCTGTTTCTGTGCCTTGGCATGGGTTGTCCTCAATGCCTGGAATGCTTTCCCTCCTCACAGCTGCCCCTTGGAATCACTGGTTTCTTTTAAGATTCAACTAAAACACCACATTCTGCTTGCGGTCTTTCCTGGACCTCCCAGTAAGTCAGTCTGCTAATCAGTAATTATTAAGTGCTTACCATATACCAAAAACTATGCTAGTTTTTGTGTCTAGTATGCTAGATACAAAGAAAGGCAAAAAACAATTCCTGCCTTCAAAGATTCTAATGGGGGAAACTACATGAAAATAACTAGATACATGTAAGATAGATACAGACTGAATAGAAGACACTCTGAGAGGGCAAGATACCAGAAGCTGGGCTGACTTCTGTAGAAAGTAAGGTTTGAGTTGAATCTTGAGGGACCTCAGGGAAGCTAGAAGGTGAAGGTGATGGGTAGAGAATTTGAGGCATAGAGGACTTCCAAGTACAATGGGGATGGGAGATGTAGTGATATGTTCAAGGAACTGCAATTAGGCCAGCATTACTAAAGAGTAGAGTGCCTAATCATATACTTTGAACATTTATCTATGACTTTTATAAACTTGACTCAGTTCCCTACATATCTTAGAAATGAGACTTTTGTCACAGAAATTTGCTACAAAGATTTTTCTCATTTACTTGTTTTTCTTCTAGTTTTAACTAGAAGGAGAGTTGGCATTGGTTTTGTTTGTTTAAAAACTTTAATGTTTTATAGAATCAAAATTGTCCATTTTACCTTTTGTGATCCTCTCTATTCCTTGTTCGGTCCTGAACTCTTCCCCTGTTCAGATATCTGACTGGTAAGTTCTTCCTGGATTCCCTAATTGTTTAATCAGTGGGAATATAAATCCAAAAAGAAGAGACAGCCTCTGCTCTCAAGCAGCTTTACATTCTAATAGGGGAGATTACACACATAAGATAATTGTAATCAGGGAGGAGCACTTTGGTTCTGAGAAACATAAGGATGGTGAGTAGGACTATTGGAGATTAGATTTACATACCCCATCTAAGAACAAAGGCAAGGTTAATTTGATTTTGGTTCATGCTTCTATAAGAGGGTAGTGTATGGGGAAAGGCAGAGGAAAAGAGATGCAGTAGTAAGGTGAGTAGGCAAGGTTGTGGAGGAGATAACCAGTGAGTAAGATGTGAAGTGAACCGTGGATGAGGTTTGCCTCAACTAGTGGTTCAGGAGAGTGAGTTGCAAGTCAGGACAGAAGGCAGCAGAGCAGAAATTCCTCCAGGGCATGATAGAACATTCCAGCCGTGGGGAAACAGCTTATGTAAAGGCATGAAAGCTGAAGATGGAATGTTGTGTAAAGAGAATAGCAGTTCTGGCCAGTTTAGCTAGAATATAGAATTCTTATTAGAGAATACTATGTGAAAAAATAGTCTGGAGCCAGATTGTGAAGGGCCTTAAATGACAAGAGTTTGTATTTAATCCAGAAGTAGTGGGGAGCCACTAAAGCTTCTTGAGTAGGATAATGGTATGATCAGATCTGTGGTATAGTGTAAAGAACATGGAATTAGAGGGAGACCTGAGTTTGAATCCGAGCTCTGTCACTGACTACCTATGTGACCTTGAGCAAATTGCTTTACCTCTCTGGGCTTCAGTTTCCTCATCTGTAAAATGAAGGGGTTAGACTAGATGACCTTTAAGCTAGTCTCTTCATGTTGTAACATCCTCTGACTATCATTTTGGCAGCTGTGTGGAAAATGGATTAGTTTATGGAGAGATTGGAAGCTGGGGGCCAATTAGGCGACTATTGTAATAGTTTAGGAAAAACCTAGTTTGGTTATAATGTGAGTAGAGAGATTTGAAACACTGTGGGGAGGTGAGATTGGCAAGACTTGGTAGTGAGTATGATGATAGAGTCTTGAGGTTTAGAGAAGAGTTGAAGATCACTCTTGGTTGGAGCCTGGTTGACTAGAAAAATAGTAATGTTGGCAGAAATAGGAAAGTTTGGAGGAGGATTTGGTTTAGGGGAAAAGATGACAAATTTGGTTTTGAATGTATTGAGTTTGAGCTACTTATAAGGCATCTAGTTGGACATGTTCAGAAGGCAATTGGATATTCAGGAATGTAAATAAGGAAAAAGATAAAGGTTGGATATGTAGGTTTGGGAGTTATCTGCTTGAAGATGATAATTGAAATCATGAGAGCTGATAAAATCACCAACAGAGGGTAAAGAGGGAAGAGAACAGGAACCAGGCTAGTATCCTGGAGTACAGTTTTTTGTTTTTGTCTTTGTGTCCCTAGGATCCGTTCTCTAAACCTAACACAGTGCTTCAAATATAATAGGCATTTAATAAAGCTTGTTGATTGATTTTTTAAATTAATTTTTATTTTCAGTTCCAAAGTCTCTCCCACCCTCCATCTCCTCTCCCACTCATTGAGAAGGCAGGAAATACAACACCCATCACATATATGAAGTCATGCAAAACATTTCTGCGTTAGCTATGTTTGGGAACAGGGGAGGGGTATTGGAGGACAAGAAAAAAAAGAGAAAAAATGTTTCAGTTTGCACTCTGAATCTATCAGTTTTCTATCTGGAGCTATATAGCATTTTTTATCATGAGTCTCTTTGGAATTGTGGTGGATTATTGTATTGAAAATAGTTACTAAGTTTACATAGTGGATTATCCTTACAATAATGCTGTTATTGTATAGATTGTTCTTTTAGTTCTGCTTATTTCATTTTGCATCAATTCATATAAATCTTCCCTGATTTTTCAGGGAAAAATAATTTTCATCATTTCTTATAGCATAATAGTATAATAGCATAATAGTATTTCTTATAGCATAATAGTATTCCATCACATTCATATACCATAACTTGTTCAGCCATTCCCCAGTTGATGGGTGTCTTCTCAGTTTCTAATTCTTTGCCACCCGTCAAAATGAGCTATTATAAATATTTTTGTATATATGAGTCCTTTTCCTTTGTCTTTGATCTCTTTAGGTTATAGATATAGTAGTGGTATTACTGGATCGAAAGGTATGCATAGTTTTATAGCTTTTTCTATGTAGTTCCAAATTGCTTTTCAGAATGGTTGGACCAGTTCACAGCTCCGTCAATAACGGTGCATTAGCATACCTGTATTTTCGAATCCTCTCCAGTGTTTGTCATTTTCCTTCCCTGTCATCTTAACCAATTTGATAGGCATGAGGAGGTACTTCATAGTTGTTTTAATGTACATTTCTCTAATTAGGATGTGTGTTTTAGATAATTTTTTCATAATACTATTGATGGCTTTGATTTCTTCCTCTGAAAACTTCCTATTCATGTTCCTTGACCATTTATCAATTGGGAAATGGCTCAAGCTTGTTGATTCATTGATTTGCATTTTACAGATGAGGAAGCAGGGGCTGGGAGAGGTTGTGACTTATCCAGGGATAGAAAGCTACGACATTTCTAAGATAATATTTTGAACTTAAATCTTCTTGATTCCATTTCCGGCACTCTATTCTTTGCTACACACTGCCTGTCTTGATAATACTAATGCTTTTCTATTTAAAAATGCTTCGCTCTAAAAAGAAAAAAAATCCTTAGCCTCTTAGCCTAGTTTTGCACTGGTCTTTCATTGGACACAGTTTTAGTGATTGTTTCATAATATTAATATTCCACAAATGTTAACCATTCAAGTTAGTTACATGTTTTAATTTCTCTTGTTAAGGTGACTCATTACTTATTCATTATTCATTGTTGGTCTGTCTCTCTTATTTCTTTACTAAAATCACACATTTTATCCTTTGAGGAAGACAGCTTTTTATTTATGCTGTTCACATATAATTAGGCTTACTTTGATGTTTCATCCATTACAGCTTCCTAATATAAATTATTGTGCAGTACTTTCCTTGAAAATTTTTTTGTTCTTTTCTCTTTTCTGAAGCAATGTGTAATCTTTCTTATGTTCCTTTTTAGTTTGCTAATCCAGATTTCATGGAGTCCATTTCAGATGTAGTTGATGAAGTTATTCAGAATTGTCCCATTGATGTTCGACGTCCTCTGTATAAGGTAAAACCTACTTGGGTAAGGTGTTTTGGTTTCAGTAGGAAATTTAAAGGCACAAGTTATTAGAATGTTTACATACATAAATGCTGCATATCATTAGGACTGTTAAACTTATATACTACCTAGTTACAATAATTAGCTTGTTTTAAGCCCAGGAGGTGATTTAATTGCCCCTGAGATCCACATATTTCCTTGTTCTTTAGTTTATGGAGTTTATTTTAAGTAGAAAGTTCTAAGTTCAGCCACTATTATTCTGAACTCTAGGTAGGAAAATTCCAAATGGTTAGGCAGATGTTGGGCTCTCCACCTAACTTTATATCTATTTCTAGTTAAGCCTTGGCCTTTTTGAGGTTGACTTTACTGGAAATGTTTGAGAAACAAAACAGCAGATTCTATTACAGTGTCTGTGAATAAATATGTACTGGTAGGGGAAGTTGAGTAAAAAGCCAACTTTTTCAGAGGATTTTTCTTATCCTAGATCTTCTGTTCTGACACACCTTTAGTATGATGACTCTCCTTGACAGATCTATTATCTGCCATAGCTTAGTCCTACCTTTGCTCTTTAGAGATGTGCTGGAATGTCATGCCTGCTCTGTCCTCTGGAATTCACACGCATAGAATCTCCATATCTGGTTCTCCTGAGATAGCTTCTTTCTTTTATATAAAGTTCTCAAGATATCACCACATCTCTTATACAGGGGCTTTGATTTGATTTGATTGCTGTACAGGCCCTGTTTATAATCTATCTTACTTGACTGATTTAGTCAAGAAGTGTTTTTACCTGACAAAGGTAATCACTTACTTTTTAAGTATATTGATTATCAGTGGAGTCACAACCCTTATAATTAAAGAGTGTGATTATTTTTTGGGGGGGAGTGATGTAATAATAATGATAGCTAATGTTTATATAGTACTTTAAGCATTTTACAAATATATCACAAGAACTTTTTTGAGTGCTATTATCCTTGTTTTATAGATGAGAAAAATGGCTAGTAGAAGTTAAGGGACTTGCCTAAGGGTACCCAATCATCTTAATTCATAATTGTAGTGGATATAGTAGATACTGACCCTTCCCATAGGAATTTGTAGTAATCAGAACAATAGAACAATCACCTAACACAGTTCTAACCTATCACATATCTTGGAAATATAAATATATATAAAATTCATTTCCACTATATAGCTAGAAATACTCCTTAGGAAGAATTTGAATGTTTCTGACTCAAGTCCAGCTCTCTATCCACTTCACTGTCTGTTACATTAAATGTAGTCAAAATGAGAAGGACTTTAGTATTTGGAAACTGTCTCCTACAGTAAGTAAGGAACATTTATTTCTATTATTGTTTTGTCTGAAAAGTTGCATTTTAAATTGGATGGATTATACCTGTACAACATGTAACTAAAAGGTAAAAGTAATAATTATGTTTTCTATAATATCCATGTATATTCTAAATATCATTGACTTTTTGAACTTGTGTATTTTTTTTATGGCTTTATAAGCTTTTGCTTACATTAGAACTAGACTGTAATTATTAGTTCCTGTGTTCCTAATTTGAACTTCTTGAGTAAGTCATGTCCTTGCAGTGTTTTTATTTCCTAAATTTCTTTCAGTGTAGAAATTCTTTTAAAAATTATAATAAGAAAATAAGTCAGTGTAATAGTCAAGTGAAATGAGTAAGTCCTGACAGTCAAAGGTTGAGAGTCGGAAGAAAGTGTATTAGTAGATAAGTAGTTCTAGCCATATTTCATGTTTAATGTTTACTGGGGTTGTTCTCATAGCTGCCTAATTTAAACAGAGGTAATAAAGATAACAAATAATATGAGTTGTTCACTCCATACTAAAATTACATGTCAGATCCTATAATTCTTTTGTTCAGCACTTAATTTTAACTATGCTTTCCAACTAGGTGACAAAGGCAATAGACAGAATTTGTGTCATGAGGTTGAAGCATATAGCATTAAAATTTTTTTTCAGTAGTATTCCAAAAGAAATGAAGTTGCCTATCAATGGTTAAATATTGGTCATAAAGATATGCCTTTTCCCCTTAGAACTTTCACTTTATTCACTAGAAAATGCCTTGTGTTATTTATAATATTGTTCCTTTACTCCACAATGTGACAGTATGTCATAAAATCATAGATTTGGAGCTGGAAAGGATTTTACCTAGATTATCTAGTTCAGCCTCCTTATTTTATTGTTGAGGAAACTGAAGCCAGAGAGGTGAAGTAATTTGTTCAGAGTCATACAGCTAGCAGAGTCATAAGTTTTTCCCTCCCCTAGGCAATTGGAGTTAAGTGATTTTCCCAGGGTCACACAGCTAGTGAGTGTCAAGTGTTTGGTCTGAGGCCGGATTTGAACTCAGGTCCTCCGGACTTCAGGGACGGTACTCTATACACTGTGCTACCTAGCTGCCCCAGAGTCATAATTTTAATTAATGTTATTGAACATCTGATTAACTTAATGCATAATTATAGTGGCTATAGTAGACACTGTCCCTTCCCTTGAGGACTTTGCAGTAATGAAAGTGATAGAACAGTCATCTAACACAGTTCTAACCTGTAACATATCATAGGAATATAAACATACATAAAATTCATTTACATCGTACAGAAAGAAATACTTAAGAACTGTTCTGGCATGATGGAATAAATGGAGCTAAGTGGACAAAGTCTTAGGAAACTTCATGAAAAAGGTAAACTTTAAGCGGGGATTTGAAAGTAGGGTTGTAATTTGGCAGAAAGGATTGGAACAGATTTTGAGCCAGAGGTGTACATGTGATGGTAGACCATTTGCCTTGTGTAGAGCAGATTGATCTTGGTATAATAGGAAATAACAGGTAGCTAATGAAGAGTCATTTAGTAGAGAGTCTTGAAACATATGACTGAATTTAGATTTGATACAACAGTAGTAACTCATAATTGAAATATATTGTAGTGTGAGATTGTTTCAGCTTTTGCATTTGTATCTCCAGTGCTTGACAACACAGTAGGTACTTAATAAATACTTGTTGATTGATTTGATGATTCTTAAGACAGATGAAAAAAATTAATGCAAAGAGAGTAAAAGCTTTTAAAAATTTTGGTGTTTTGGGTAAATATGGGCTATTAGTAAAAAACTCCTTTTACTTATTAATGGAATACCAGGGGAATGCTTCTTTCAAACTCAGTTTTGCTGATTGAAAGGGGGAAAGACAAAAACGTTTGTGACTTGCATGTGAAGAACACTTAAGAAAGCAGTCCCCAGAGATAATACACTCATCCAAGGCAAAGACTGAGTCATTACTTTGTTTCCCAGCTCCTCATTTGTTCATGACCAACAGGAAAACTTGGTAATATTCTGATTAAGCACCATAAGCTAGGGTGAGTTCTTTTACTGAGGGGACTCCATCATGAACCAAGGAAGGTGGGTCAAAGGAGACTTTAGAGCCTAGTAAAAGAAAGACTGTAACTCTCTGCACTGCCACATGATGCCTGGGAAGTAGAGACCCTTAAGAGTCTCGCCAAGGCAGCAGAACCAGAGGAACTGTTAAAAAATCCAAGGCTATGCCTTTTGTGGAAGAGCACAGCATTAGCCTGGCAGCAGAGAGGCTCACTTCAGCAGTAGAGTGGCATGGCCCTGCAGCACCAGAACAGTCTGACTCCACTACAAAGCAGCCACTACAGCAAAGTGACTGGTCCAGTGCAGACCCATACCTGTCAGGGAACTTGGTGAGCGTTGTCTTTAAGAACATTGAGACTGGCAGTGCTGAGGTCCTGAGGAGCCTTAGCTACGTGTATTTCTTGTACCCTATTGCCGTGATGCTTGCTTTGTATTCACTTTCCCTCATAGCGTATTCTTTGGTAGATAAGTACACCCTGGGCATATAAGTGGAATGTTGTATAATTATTGTTTTTGCTTTGCCTTTTGAATTAATGCTTTTGTTAAGAGTTTATGAGTCATCTGGGGGATTTGTTAGTGGTAAACACAGTGGTGGGGGTTCAGGAGCTATGCCATTTACAAGGGTTACCCCTAGATCCCTGAGGGTAGTTGTAGCACCCACCCCTCCAGGAAGTCCTCCTTTCTGGTATGAATGCAAGTTGGGGAAATGAGGAAGCACTGAGAGACGTAAAGAGTAAAGGGGGCAGGGTACCCTCTATACTTATATTACCATAGATAAGTTGTAGAAATCTACTTAGAGCAGAGTTTGAAATTGCTCTCTCAACTGTTTCATTATAGTGGTAGTGATGATACTTTGTTGTCTACAGACTGTAGAAACTACTGGGGATCTCTTACTCGCTAAATCCAGGGATCTTGTTTTAGGCCTAATTCTTTGTGAACTTTCTTTTACATTTAGTATTATTGATTTCCCCCCTTCTTCAAAGTTTCTCCATTGGACTTTTGTGATGCTGTACTCTCCTAGATCTCCACTTACTTCTCTGACTGCTCCTTCATCACCTCTGCATGTATTTCTTTTTTCTCCTCCTATTATTCTGTTCTCAAACTTCTCTCTCTACACTGTTCTTTGGTCACCTGACCCACTCCCATTGCTTCAAACATCACCAACATTTTTCTGTAGTCTTGATGTCTTTTCTGAGCTTCCAACTCTATGTTATGTACTTCCAACTGAAATGCCTCAACACCTCAGAGTCAACATATTAAACTCATGATCTTCTAAATCTTGTTCTTATGTCTCTCAGTGACACCATTGTCCCCTCTGCCACCCAAGCTTGAAACCTTTGTGTCATTTTTGACTCTTCCCTGACTCTCATGTCTAATGAATTGCTAAATCTCATTTACTGTACCTCTGCAGTATTTCTCATATTTGTTTCCTTAATTTTTAGTAAAGTTCATTTTAATTGTACTTTAAGATGTGTGAATACCTTATTGCTCCAATGGTACTAGCCTTCTTAATGTTCCATTTCCCAACTCTGTGCATTTTATTGGCTCAAGGTTCTAACAGAAACATTTCAATTTATGGTGACCATGGAATCTGGAAAGCTAGGGAAGAAGAGGAACTTTGTTT